CATCTGATTGCTAGTGGTAAATGCAAAGTCAGAAGTTTTTTAATATAGGCTTAAACACCCCAGCTCAAAGAATATACACCTGTAGGCCATTATTTGCGTAGTAAATGTATGTGCTAAGATAAGCCCGTGTGAGCCATTGAGATAGTAGCAAGTGTCACTATTCCCAACAGACCAGTAAGTATAAATCAGTGACACATCCCACTGGATGATGGAGAGGGTGATATTTAGGCAACATTCATCACTGTCATCATAGAACATCTCCATGCTTACACCATCAGACAGCAACTATGATGATGCAGCCAAGGTTCGCCGTGTATTTTATGGAGCAACAAAGAAAGTATGGTACAGCACTGTACAAGAGAGCAGTGGTTCAAAATAAATCTATTTATATGTTTAAGGCGCAGATGGAGAGGAGAGAAACCATGTTAACTTCCATAGCAACTCAAAGTCACGCTTGGACGTTATATCATAGTTATTGTAGCCTAGAACACAGTGTGACATTCGGTGCATGTGCTGAATGTCAACTCCCGCTACGCGAGCCGGAATCTCTCTCCCCCTCTCTCTCTCCCGGCCCTTTTAAATGTGACGAATTTGCCGAGAGCCCTGATTCATGTGCCCTCTCCGCAACTGTTTCTCATCCCCGTGCAGATCATAAATCCTTGGTCGTACCGTAGGTGAACTTGTCACATGACTCCCCGCAGTGGGGCCACTACCCCATAGCGCAACTGTCTGCCCTGCCTGACTGCGTTTCATGAGTCAGAGCCCAGCTCTGGAGGCATATGGGGAGATTTATGCATTTTAATTGGATTGGCTTCGTGGCCCCACAGTAAGAGCGGTTATTTGAGGTATGAAGGATTGACACTCTGCTCTTGTCACTGCTCCTTACCTCCTCCACATCATTTCAGAGGCTGGTTTCCGGCTTCTGACACAGGATTCAATTCAGTTTTATTTATATAGCGTAAAATCACAACCACAGTCCCTTCCGGGCACTTTATATTGTGAGGTAAAGCGCCTGCAATAACACAGAGAGAAAACTAAAAATGAAGCAAACCCTTTGAGCAAGCACTTGGCAACAGTGGGAAGGAAGAACTCAATTTTAACAGGTAGAAACCTCCAGAAAAACCAGCTCAGGGAGGGGCAGCTATCTGCCACGACTAGTTTAGGGGTGAGGGGAGGGAGACAGGACTCATGACACACTGTGGAAAAGAGTCAGAGAAGAATAACTAATGATTAAATACAAAGCGGTGTATAAAAACACAGAGGGTAAAAAATGTGAGGGACTCGGCGCTTAATTATGTCATTATAATTAAGCGCATGTGACGTCAAGTTAAGACGGCTCGGCCATTATTACCGATGCATTGTTGTGTGTGCCCTTTCGTGTAACACTGCTAGAGCTCCCACAAACCTTATTTTGTGTTGTGCGCACCCGGGCGTCTGTCTGGAATGAAAAAAGCGTGTGTGTTT